TGCCTTGGCCTATAAATGAATATTCCTGGTGTGTCCTGCCACCTGATAAAGAAAGCTCATAATGCTTGGCTTTATTTAGGCCAGGTGAAAAATGAAGGTATTTCAAGCTGTATCCTCTTCTTTGGCACCAGAAAAACATGCCTTAATGACAGAGGACACCAAAGACAGACATGGATGAATAGACCTGATGTTGTTATTTTTTATTGGATACTTTACAGTTCATGGAAGGGAGGTTCAGCTTTTGAGCTGAGGAGCTCAAAATGGAGAAGCCAAGGATGCAAAATGAAGCCACAGGATCTTTGCTCTCCAAAAACCTTCTTCCTATGGAGATTCCCAACGGAGGTGGGGGGCCATCCCGCCACCGAGGCGCGAGTCTGGGTCTGGCTTCCCCGCTCGCGCCCTCCAGCACCCCCAGCTCTCCTCATAAAACTCCAAAGAACCAGAGCCTTGGCCTGGTTTCGATTTTAAAAATAACTTGCACATTTGGAAGCTAAAGTTTCAGAAGGGAATGGGATAATGGCTTTGATCATGGCAGCTAGAGATCAAGGGAGGGCCTTTTCGGTTTTGCAGCATCAGATGGAAAATATATTGTAGCGTCTAGACTTTATCATCCCGGAGCAAGGTTCTTGTTTTTTTTTTTTTCCTTTTTTTTCTCTTTTACAAAAGGTCTAATCCTAAGTCCATGTAAAGTTGACAGGAAGGCTTCTTGGGAAAGGAGCCTGGCTTTGGTTTTGATTGTGTCCAGAAGCAAGTTGAAAGAGGTGGGAAGCAACGTTGGACTTTGACGGACTTCTGCGTTTACGGGCCGGCCGTTTCTCATTAGGCTGTTGGCATGGGTGGAAGTTGCAGAGTTGGCAGCAAGGAGACCGGAGGCGGGGACCGGCCTCGTGACAGCCACGTGGTCCCCAAACGCTTGGTCTCGGTGGCCCTGCAGCACATGGGAGCGCTGGTTATCCCTCTTGACCTCTGGTTGGGGCAACATGATAATTGTAGATGTCCATGTCTACTGGTGTTCAGAAAGAACTCCAGCTTCTCAGTGTGAAAGGTAGAAAATGCATCATTTTTTTCCCGTACTTTTTTTAAGTCTACAGAACAAGATCAGACACAGAGCTGCAATCTCTTAGGGTGCTTCGAATAACCTCGAAAGCTGCCCAAAAGATGAGGAGGTGCTGGATTTGCCGATTCTCTCTCTTCCTGAGTGTCCCTGTAGCAATTGGACTTTGGTGTGTCGGGGGCAAATGAAAAACATGGAAAATGAGCACTTTTGGAAGATGTGCGAGTTGAAGTTGTTGTGCTTCTGCCTCTGGTCTTTTCTATGTGCTTTTTGTTTGAGAGAGGGGAAAAATTGCCATTGCCATTCTATTTTCTTTTCCCGTCAATTACTCTTTTAGGCGCATTTGTTTCCAAGTATGAATCCATGCAAATGCTAGCCCGTAAACACTTTCCAGTGTGAAAACTGTATTAAAATAGGGCTGGAAGGGATCTTGAGAGGTCACCTTGTCCCCAAGGCAGGATCAGTTAAATCCACTCCTTGAGCTGGAATGCAATCGTGTTTGTTGGGAGCTGTTTTCTCGTAAATTATGCATGAAGCAAAGGCAAAAAAACTATCATATAATGCTGCCAATATATGTGTGCAAGTTTCCCTCTGAATAGGCTTATGAAATTCAAATTATTTGCTGCCTAGATGCTGAAAATTAATGCTAGGCTTGCTCCAGAGCAATTCAAAGTAATACTCCTGAGTAGCCTTCACTGTTCTGCCTGGATCTTTCCTAAAATGCTGTGGCTTTTATGAATAAAAGATGTTTATCCGCAGCCTTTATCTGATGTGGAGCAATCCCAGGAGCTCCACGGAGGTAACAAGACGTCTCGGATGTTCATTGCTTCTCGTGAAGTAGATGTGAACTTTGAGAGTGAAAGCAGTTCTCTAGATGGCCTCATCTTGAGTTGGAGGAACCTTTCCCAAATAAGCCCCCAATCAACCCAAATCCCTGCACTGGGGTTATCTGCAAGGTCCTTCCCCAGACAGCAGCAACACCAACATTCCAGAAGTCTATGGCCATCTTCCTCCTTGACCTCTGCAGGATTTAGACTTGTGGGGTCCTGGAGAGAATAGGATAGGCTGTACTAGAAATCCTTGTCTGCTCTGAGACTGAAACCAAGTCAATGACTTCAAGTCAGTGATGACTTCAATTAAAGTCATCACTCAAATAATTTCCATCACATGTTCCTCTAATCTAGCTTTGTGTCTTGACTGGTGGATTGAAATTAAACGATGCACAAGAAACCTCACTTGATCCCATTGCCTTTCAAAGGGCCTGCAGAGCTGCAATGTGTCTGTTTTCCATGCTTTTAGCTCCCAATTCCATTGATAGATTGTTTTGAAGGAAGCTCATGTGTAGCCAGCTGGATGCTGGCTTACCTTCGGACAGCACCGAGTTGGTATTAGCATTCACACAGCCCAGGTGGTAACTGATTTGCTTTCATGTGGTGCTTTTGCCAACCAGCTTACTGTAGGTAATATCAATATTCATCGATCTTTGACCATGGGGCTGGCTCAGGGAGCAACACTAGCCCATCTGCACGTTGAAAGTCATGATGGCTGGCAGCATTATTCCCTGGCCAAATGTATGCACCGAGATTGTGGCTTTGATTTGTTGCAGATGGCTCTCTGGATATAGTCTAGGGCATTTTGCCAGCCAATTTTATATCCGTGTAAAAGTGATTGACATCTCTATCAATAAAGCTGCTGTGGAATTATAACTCTAAATATGTGTATTCATTAAGTTATTTTTATATCTCAAGTGGCTTGCTGTTCTGTTACCATGAGTGAGCCATGTTCTTCGCATGCATGCTGTTCGCAGCCCCAAAATAAACTAGCAAAACCACAGCTTTTGAGATTTCGAAAGTCTTTTTCCCTTGGAAATAGATATGTGTCAGCTGCCCATGGGTCCCCCACCTGCTGCAGTGGGACAAAGGACCCCACTTTTAGACAGGCACCCACTGGGGATGAGCTTGCTTCAAGCATCAATGTAGAGAGAGGCCCAGAAATGGTAGCGTCTCCAAACATGGAAGAATGAACTCTTGGATTTTTTTGGTATGAGCTTATACTGATCGCACAGATCCTGTGAGCTGTTCAGTCATGCTCTGCAGTGAGACCCAACATACTGGCCAGAATGTGCCTTTGTTGGAGCATTTAGCCCTATGGACAGATAAATACCATTTGTGCTATGGAGAAGGATCCCTCCATCCATGTCCTTGGTGCAAGCCCTGCAAAGGCTTCCCTCTCTCTGCGGCACGGCCTGGGCTGTGCAGGAAAAGGGTCTTTTGGCCTCGTGTGCCCTTCTCTGCTGTCACATCGACTGCAGGAGTGTGCAAGAAAGACCCCAGATTTGCTCCAGGCTCTGCTGTGAGCTGCAGAGAGTGGGGAGGAGCAGAGCTGAGGGGAACGCCTGGCCACCTGCATGCTGGTATATATATATATATGTATATATATATGTACACGGGAGCTGGCATATTTAGCTTGGTCTCTGAATAGGCTTAGGAAAATGCTGCAAACTTTCTGGGGAAGAGGGCTGAGGGGGGAGGAGGAGCTGTTTTTCTTCTCCGTTTCAAGCATTTGAATATTCATTCAGTAGATTATGAAGCATGAAGCTCATGTGCCTGAGAGGCAGATCAGCTGCTTTGCATTCCTCAGTAATAAAGTGCATTGTTTAAAGTTAATCTACTTTTTTGTTTGTTTGTTTTTAGTTTAGTTCCCTACTGAAAGAAAGCTTATAAAGGTGGTCTGTCCATCTGGTGCTTCTTCCCTATCACCAGCCATTCATCGAGTTCCTTGGCTGATTTTGTCCTCTCAAAACCT